AAGACGGAAACTTCATATCATAAGGCATCTATATACAAAATATGAAGCATCCAGGTCTTCTACCTTCTGAAATATTATTAAAGCTTTAAGAAGTTAGCTAGCGCCGCCGCCGCCCCCGGATCACTATCCGTATGTCGAGCTTTCTGCGACAAAAGTCGCAGGCTCGACAAAAATTAAACTGTGATATGGCGGCATGGTAATTAACATTATCATCCTTTACGACAGACAAAATACCTGATCTGAAAAGTACACCATCTACTTGCCACTATACATCATGTCCTAGATAAAGCCGAAGAGGAAAGGCATTACATCGACCACCGAAAGCTATATTTTTATGTAGCCTAGGTGGTCGAGTAGTCTAGTGCGCTGGACACGGTGCTGCCACGATGTCACAGACGCAAGGGTTCGAATCCCACGGAGGGAAGAACAAATATCCTAACGCAAATTTGATGATCTAACATTGTTAGGCTAAATTTGAGACAAGGTATAATTTACAGTTATCACTACACATAGGCAGACATATCTCATCATTAATTCATAGTGATTGTATGCTTCTAAAGATAGAATAGAATCCTGTATTATACTGGACAGATGAGTAGATGATCATTCCTGTACACTTAAATATACTTCGTGTATTGTGTTAGATGTCCTTGTTTAATACCTACGAGAAGGTACCACCTCCCGAAACGAAAGCTGATTTTTATCAACTATAGCTAGAGGAGTGGATGAGGCGTCTACGCAATGCTAGGCGGTGTTGTCGTAGAAGTGAGAAGTGAAAAAGATAGGTTCCAGCCCCGGCCGGGGAGGAAGTAAAGAATCAAATCTACTCTAACATTGTTAGGTCGAATTTCTAGGCACTTTATAAATATTCTAACGCCTGGTATTTCTTAATACATAAGAAATCCGATGGACAAGGTATAATTTACAGTTATCGTTACACATAGGCAGACATATCTCATTATAAATTCATAGTGATTGTATGCTTCTAAAAATAGAATAGAATCCTGTATTATACTGGACAGATGAGTAGTTGATCATTCCTGTACACTTACATATACTTCGTGTATTGTGTAAGATGTCCTTGTTTAATATCTACGAGAAGGTAACACCTCCCGAAACGAACGCTGATTTTTATCAGCTATAGTTAGAGGAGGGAATGAGGTGTCTGCTCAATGTAGGCAGTATTGTCGTAGAAGCGAGAAGTTTCTAGCCCCGGCCGGGAAGGAAGTAAAGAATCAAATCTTCTCTAACATTGTTAGGTCGATTTTCTAGGCACTTTATATATATATAAACGCCTGAAAAGTGTACAAAACAACACCAATAACAAAAAAAGAAAACTATAAATGTAATTATTTATAAAGATTTCGGATAATTTATATATATATATATATATAAAAGTCTTAATTGAAAACAACGTTCAAACTTATGATTGCGTTGGATAAAAACCGCACTTTTTATACGTGTGCATGTAAAACAAATTTCTTGGTAGAGGGGTCTAAATACAGCACACACAACAATTTTCAAAAAGACCAAAAAAAGTGAAAAAGTCTATTTTAACAAAACGCATTTGACTAACAGGTCGAACAACTGATGTTCTCAAACCCTGCTGACTGCCATTGGCGATTGCCAAATAAATTGATCACCAGATCTAACGAAATGGATCTTAATATTAATAAATACCAAACAGAAAACAATAAACCTGTGGGAAAGATGGTATACCACAAACATCAGGTGCAAAAATTTGTACACCATATCCGGATTTCGACAGTTTATGTCTCTTCAGTGATGTTAGGGATCGAAACGGTATTTGGAAGGCCATATAATCTACCTCAATTTAGGATAGACTCTTTAATTTTAAAGAGTCGAAATAGGATGAACGGATCATATAAACCCGAAGGAAAATATAATACAAGCCCAAAGGAAAAAATATATAAAAGTCTAAAATGAAAACAACGTTCAAACCTATGATTGCGTTGGATAAAAACCGCAATTTTTATACGTGTGCATGTAAAACAAATTTTCTTGGTAGAGGGGTCTAAATACAGCACAAACAACAATTTCCAAAAAGACAAAAAAAAAGCGAAAAAGTCTATTTTAACAAAACGCATTTGACTAACAGGTCGAACAACTGATGTTCTTTAACCCTGCTGACTGCCATTGGCGATTGCCAAATAAATTAATCACCAGATCTAACGAAATGGATCTTAATATCAATAAATACCAAACAGAAAACAATTAACTTGTGGAAAAGATGGTATACCACAAACATCAGGTGCAAAAATTTGTACACCATATCCGGATTTCGACAGTTAATGTCTCTTCAGTGATGTTAGGGATCGAAACAGTATTTGGAAGGCCATATAATTTACCTCAATTTAGGATAGACTCTTGAATTTTAAAGAGTCGAAATAGGATGAACGGATCATTTAAACCCGAAGGAAAATATAATACAAGCCCAAACGAAAAAATATATAAAAGTCTAAATTGAAAACAACGTTCAAACCTATGATTGCGTTGGGTAAAAACCGCAATTTTGATACGTGTGCATGTAAAACAAATTTTCTTGGTAGAGGGGTCTAAATACAGCACAAACAACAATTTCCAAAAAGACCAAAAAAAGTGAAAAAGTCTATTTTAACAAAACGCATTTGACTAACAGGTCGAACAACTGATGTTCTTATATATATATATATTTTAATACCCTTTATTAGGTCAAGGACAACGTCATTGGGAATGTATTTTTTGTCACCTAAATTTTCATACCAAACATAAGAAAAAGCAAACAAGTCAAGTAAGTTTAAGGGGGGCAAATCCAACCTTCGAAAATACAGACAGGCATAATACCAAGTTTCAGTCTTATAAGAAACCATACCTTAATCTTCAAGGAGTTTGAGTTCATTTGCAGTAAATTAAACAACTATTTGCAATAAAGATCATTTATTCAAAATAACATAAAATCATAATATTCTGTATCATATAATCAATTATGCAATTTATGCAATAATCCATATCTAAATAAATGACAAAAAATTAGCTAAGGTGGCGAATAAAAACCGCCAGTACAAAGAACACAATATGTTATACAATGAAAACAAGAAAGTGTCCATAGTACACGGATGCCCCACTCGCACTATCATTTTCTGTGTTCAGTGGTCCGTAAAATTTTGCATTTAAATTAGAAAGATCATATCACAGGGAACATGTGTACTGAGTTTAAAGTTGATTGGACTTCAACTTCATCAAAAACTACCTTGACCAAAAACTTTAACAACAAACTTTTACCTGAAGCGGGACAGACGGACGAACGGACGGACGAACGAACGAACGGACGCACAGACCGAAAAACATAATGCCCATAAATGGGGCATAAAAAACAACCAAAAACATATACATTGACCTATAATGGTTTACTTTTATAAATTGTTACTTGGATGGAGAGTTGTCTCATTGGCACTCATACCACATCTTCCTATATCTACATATGATTAAAAAAATACTTTCAAAGGTGTGGGAGGGTGGGTTATCAGAATTGGCTTTCTCTCTTGAAATCACAAAATGGCGTCTTGCAGCTTTCAAAACGAAATCGTCAATGACCAAGCGTCCCCTCACATGCAATGATGCTATCATGCGCGGTTTCATGATTGGTCACTCTAATTATATTAAGCCAATTGCAACTAATATTTACCATGATCATGAGATGACCATGTTGACCTTGACTGCATTTGATTAAGAATTGCATAATACCTAGACAGTGGCTATGGAAACTTCCCAGTTTCATATTACGATATTGATAAGGGGTTACCCACTGTGATGATCAGATTAACAAGAGAACTAAAATTTAATGCCAAAAATCCTTTTACTTACAGGTTGCACTTTGTAAATACAGCTGTTTCTCAAACCACGCCTCTTTTGGGGAGATATTTAATATTCATAGGTATGTTAATTTGTTAACGTACTGGTTCCCATTGATGATCTCTGTGTTTCATCTCATAGAGACATCACTTGGGAATGTAACCAGTATAGAAAAACATGGTAGCGGCTAAATTTTAATTCTTAGGAGGTCCAAAAATGGAGGTAAGGGTAGTATAGAATTTTAGTATAAGTTTAAACTCTTAGAAGTTCAGGGCATATAAATGTTGAAAATATGCCGCACAGCCCTATATTTTGACCTTTGAATAAAATAGTAGTGCATATAAACTTTCCGTTCTGGGATATTATTTTTCACGAAACTTCATAGTAAAAGTGTCACAGTTTTAGCCGCAAAGGGAGTTCCTATGGGAAATTGCATTGTCTGTATTTACAGACTTGCAACCTACAATGAAATTAATTTTTTGTCACCTAAATTTTCATAACAAACATAAGGAAAAGCAAACAAGTCAAGTAAGTTTAAGGGGGAGGGGGGGCAATCCAACATTCGTCAAGACAGACAGGCATAATACCAAGTTTCAGTCTTATAAATAAAATGTTAACACAGAGATATGTCTCGCCTTTTTGTTATTTTGATAATGCAAATATTGAATTTAAAATAGCAATACTTTAACATGTAAGTTATGCAAATATTCAAAGTCAATGAACCATGACTGAAGTTACAGGGCTAAACCATCTCCACAGAAATGAGATATGCCAATGCTTATACAAATGCATACCAAATATCATTGATCTACCACTAGTGGTTCCCCAGAAACTGACCTAATCACAAACTAATACTTGAAAACTAAGCAAAAGTTTCAAAGTCAATAGACCATGACTGAGGGGGTGGGGACAAATAATCTCCATGGTAATGAGATGTGCCAATGCTTATACAACTGCATACCAAATATCATTGACCTACCACTAGTGGTTCACCATAAACTAGACCTAATCACAAACTAATACATTGTTGACGCCGCTGCCGGAAACAGTATACCTATGTCTCGCTTTTTGAATCCGTCAAGGCGAGACAAATACCATACCTTAATCTCCAAGGAGTTTGAGTTCATTTGCAGTAAATTAAATTACTATTTGCGATAAAGGTCATTTATTCAAAATACCATAAAATCATAATATTCTGTATTGTATAATCAATTATGCATTTTATGCAATAATCTAAATCTGAATAAAAAATAAGCAAAGGTGGCGAATAAAAACCGCCGGAAAATCCCCAATATTGAAAAATATAAATTTGGGGAGACCACCACCCGAAAACTCCTTGAAGGTCATTGCAGCATTATGACAGGTGAAATATTTTCTAATAAAAACAAACAAAACAATACTTACAAAAAAAAACCCAAGCACTATTGACCTCCACATTTTATACATGTACAATAAATACATTAACTAAACTATAAAACAAAATTACATGTAGAGCAATAATTTTTGACTTCTACACATGTACAGCGTATAGTTTGTGTACTAAACATAAACTGTTTTTAAAACTACACTATTGTAGAGCAAGCCCTGTTGACCTCTACCTATAGCATAAAAATATAAATCTTCACACAAACAAGTAAAAAAAAAAAAAAAAAAAAAAAAATTTAATTGTTAAATAAAATCAGCAAGGCACGCAAAGTGTTGACATGTAAGGAAAAAACAAAGGAAAGAGCAAGCCTTGTTGACCTCTTTACTCATTTCTAAACAATGATCTATAGTGTAAAAACAAAAACAAAATTCTAAATAATAAAATTCTATTTATTGGTACGGCAAACCTTGTTGACCTCTACCTCAAAAATTATGTAACCTTATATAATTTTTTACAGCGTTTGATTTCCATCCCCCCATTTGCTGAATCACTTCTAAAGATACACCCTTGGCTGCTGCAGATGACCCTTATATAGCTGGGTGTTTAATCCAACGAAATTAAGAACCACTTTAAGTGATGTGCTAAAGAAAGCATATGATACTGGTGTGCCACATGGAAATTGAAATAGGGGACCAGAACTATGTTTAGCCAAATTTAAATAACTAGACATAGCCATAACTGGACAAGCTATATTACTAGTATTTGTTTCAATTGAAATAGTTTTTGGCTGCATGTCACTGTGTTTGTAATTCCTCATTGTGACCGTACGTTTTGAAACCTTGTTTTCAAATTCCATATTTAAATCAGATAATTGAATGACATTATTTTTCCTGCTTTCACTTTTTACAGCCATCTCACCTATACGAAGGAAACAGTAAAAGGCCAGGGACATCATTGCCTTTAATAAAATTTGATTATAGGGACTTTGTATAACTACCGGAATTGCTTCTACTAATTTTGACAAAATTTCTTTTGTGATTGGCAATCTATTATCACTTGAACTTCTAAGATTTTGGGCCACTTTAATAATTTTCTTAATGAAAAATGAATCTGTAGGATCACTCCAAAAATTAAGTTTGTGAACAAAACTGATGGCGGAGATGCAAGATGCTATTGTAGATGGCTGATAATTCTTTAAGAAAAGAAATGAAATGAAATGTGCTATCATAATGTTTGTAGATGGAAATGGTGGGACTGAAAGAAATTGTTCTTTACAAAATTGCTGGAATACATTCAGCACCCTTTGATAAGATTGTCTTGTTGAATGTGATAATGAAGCTTGTAATAATTGTGCTGTTACATATTCAAGAGATGAAGTGGAACCGTAACTGGATTTAGATTTAACCAGGGAGCAATTTGGTGGGCTTCCTGAAAAGAAAAACGAGATAGCAAATCACAGACCACATTTGTTTTTCCCGCTATGTGTTTAGCCCTAAAGTGGATATTAAACTTCAGTGCCGACAAGACCAGTCTACGAACCAATTTCATCAGATTTTTGTCTTTAGATGATGTTTTATTTGTAATGTCTGCAACAGCCTGGTTATCCATCATAAATAAAATTTTATGTTTAGCTAAGTTTTTACCCAAAATCTCAATTGCAAGAACAATGGGAAAAAGCTCCTGAACGGTGATATGCAAATCTTTCAACTCAGGAGGCCATTCGCCGGAGAACAATTTATTGCCAAAAACAGATGCAAAACCACCTTACACCCCAGCAGCATCAGAATAAAGTTTCAATGATTCTGATGACCAACTGTTTAAACAAGAAACAAGATTTTCCATTGAAGTTACACATAAATTCATACCAAGCTTTGAGATCTGCCTGGCTTCTGAATTAAGAGTGATTAAAAAAATGAGGACATGTATGTCCCATATTTAAATCAAATAATCATCGCAAAAATTTACGCCCAGGGACAATCACACTACAAGCAAAATTTAGCAACCCCAATAATGATTGTAATTCTCGTAAAGTCACTTTCCTTTTTACCTTAAATTTTTTTAGTAAACCTAAAACTTTTTTATCTTATCTTGAGGTAAACGAGCTATCATTGATTGTGAATCAATTTCGATCCCATAAATTGTCATACATGTGGTTGGGGTTTGAGATTTCTCGTCTTTAATAGGAACACCCAATTTTCAGCTAAAGCTAGAAATGTATTTAAAGCAATGGAACATTCATTCGTCTCAGCTTTACCCTCAAAGAAAAAATCATCTAGTTAATGTGATATACCCCTTATCTCAAATTTTGTATTTAAAATCCATTGTAGGGCGGTAGGAAAACATTCATAAAGTTGAAAAGATGCAGATGCTCCCATGGGTAATGCTGCATCGTAATAAAATAAATTCTGCCACCAAAACCCCTACAAATGATATTCTGATGTATGGACAGGTACCAAACGAAAAGCCTCTAGAATGTACGCCTTACTCATGAGACAATTTAAACCATAGTCCTGTACCAGATCAATGACAGTCTCGATAATCTGATATGATACTGAAGTAAACTAAATTGGTGTCAAAGAATTAACAGAGTCCCCTTTCGAAAAGATAAATCATGAATTAAACGGAATGAACCTTCCTCATTTTTTGTGAACTAGACCTAAAGGTGAGCAAATAAAATTTTCAACTGGTGGGTCCTTAAAAGGCCCTCTTATGCTACCCTTTAAAATCTCCTTTGAAATTTTCTTATTTACTATGTCAGGATTCTCTCTGGCACTTTTATTGTTCTTAGGAAATTTGTTATCAGTTTTAATTAAGGATGAATTTATCTTAAACCCAAATTTGAAACCCTGAACCAACCTGTATTTCAGATGACTGTCATATCCCTGAAGAAAATGGTTTAGCTTACCGGTGTAGGCAGACTTGTTGAATTTTGAAGACCCTTCCCTACATGTAATTGTTGCATGTTTTTTGGAACATCTGACACATTCGTGTTTGAGTCTGCAAGTGGCCATGTTGGCACATTCTCCTGATCTGCAGTAGGCCCAGCAGTAGCCCATTGGGAATGGATTAATTTGCTGCTAAGCCTGTCTTGGAAAGGGGAGAAGTTCCAACCTGCCTATTAAGTCTATTATTATTATTACCATTTGTGGTTTGACTGCCATTTAAATGCTCATAGAAGGCAGTATGCCATAAATCATCATTCACAACAGACCAATCAAACCTCATCACTTTGCGTAACCTACGGAAAGCCTCGTCATATGACTTAGCCATGTGAAAACCAAATTGTTTTGACATGGCTCTAATATTATAAGAATACTTGATCAAACTGAGAATTACATTAGGATATTTCAAATGATGTATAGACATAAAAAAATCAAAAGCTGCTGTCCACTGGTGTATGTTTGTAAACTGCTTGTTGTACACCCGACTCTTTCAGCTGATTTATCATTGCGGCCGCTATCTGGTCTGCTGATGGATGTGTTGAGGGAGTCTGGGGGTAGTGAGTCTGCTGGTTGCGTCATTGGTGGAACGGGTTGATCAGCTGCTACTTGGGTGCTTTCAGCCCTTGCACGTTTTGCCGTCTTGGCTGTGGTGCGAATAAATCAACATCCCTCAGATCTGTTGGTGCTACCTTTCTTCTAACTCTAGATCTCTGGATTGGCATCTATAAATAAAAAAAACCAGAATATATGGCCTTTTCACAATTGGTATATGGCCAATAATCGTTTCTAAATGAACCATATGATAAAAAATCATGAAATCTGTACATGTATTGAAATTGTTAAAAGTTCTAAATATTCACCAACCTTGTGGGTACAGTACACCCATATAAATGATAAAAATGTTATCAACCAATGAAACCTGATTATTATAAACCATATAACACCATATGTATATTGATACACGCTGAACCATCAACCATGTGTATATTGATACACGCTTAACCAATCATGTGTATATTGATACACGTTTAACCATGTGTATATTGATACACTTCTAACCATGTGTATATTGATACACATTTTAGCAGGTGTATAATGATACACGTTTAACCATGTGTATATTGATACACATTCAACCATGTGTATATTGAAACACATTTGACCAGAAAAGATAATACTATATAATCATTAATAATCCAAGATTTAAATTTAGTAAACAATACATGTACAGACAATGATAAGCACTATTATTTTTTGAATACACTAGTATGTGTGTTTGTTTGTAACCATAATATGTGTGTGAGTACTGATAGTGATGCAATGTGTATGTAACAAAGAAAAAGTTATACGGTTTTACTTTCGTTTTGAACTGCCAACTGCTGCACGCACGTTTTTAGCATACATCTGCATACCTGCATTGTTTAAATGAACTTGATCTATTAATAACGACGCAGTATTTTTCCAAAATCCTCGATAATGCCAGAAAGTAATAATTTGCCGGCATTTCAATGATGCATTTAACCAACGATTTACTTTGTTTACCTTTTCGTTATAGTCATGACCGGAACTTCCGGAATACCTCGGCAATAATTGACCTATGACCACGTGACTTACTCCATAGACAGTGATAACGTAATCACGCGCTAATTTGTCTGGGTTATTTTCGTGTGTTAAATCATTACCGCCGACCTGCATAAAAACTGTTTGGTTTAAAGGTATGAAATACGTGCATAAAATTTTCTTTTTGAATGCATTTAGGTCCCGGTCGTAAAGTAGCTCCACCCAAACTTGCAAGTTCTACTTGAATTTCTGTACCATCAAAGCCCAAATTATACCAACCAAACTCGCGATTCCTATATAAAAAGGAATCTAATCTACGTACAAATGAGTGACCGAAAATTAAAACTCTATGAACCATGATATCTTGCTAAAAAAAAAATAGTGTTTTCAATATATATGTCTATGATGCAATTAAAGATATAAAAAATGTTTATAAGATGGCCTAATACCTTTTAAATGAAGTCTGTATCTCTCAAAACTCTTTTCCAACCTTGAAATCGTCTTCAGCTTATAGGAAAACTTCTTGGATAAGGAACAAATTATCAGAATTGGCTTTCTCTCTTGAAATCACAAAATGGCGTCTGGCAGCTTTCAAAACGAAATCGTCAATGACCAAGCGTCCCCTCACATGCAATGATGCTATCATGCGCGGTTTCATGATTGGTCACTCTTCTTATATTAAGCCAATTGCAACTAATATTTACCATGATCATGAGATGACCATGTTGACCTTGACTGCATTTGATTAAGAATTGCATAATACCTAGACAGTGGCTATGGAAATTTCACAGTTTCATATTACGATATTGATAAGGGGTTACCCACTCTGATGATCAGATTAACAAGAGAACTAAAATTTACTGCCAAAAATCCTTTTACTTACAATAAAATTAATTTTCAGGTTGGAAATAAAGCACTTCTACTGTCAATTTTAGCTTTAGCTTATAATCTTTACAATGCCCTATACCTTTTTATTCAAAACAAATACTGAAGTTATAAAAGTATTTATAAAGTTAAAAAATTAATTATATCGTTTAATAAATCATGTGAAAGAAACAAAACCTCAAAATATATCTCAAATGAGAGGCAATAACTTATTTTCTAGATACAGTCTGCCCTAAGGAGAATAAAAACAAACCAAGACTGGGTGCATGCGTAGAACTGAAAGCAATAGCCCTCTTCAGAGGATTGGAAACTAGTTCTGTCAAATATGCACATATATAATCATTGAAAGATATCCAATTGCGCATTGGGTAACATAATTCAGAGTTACCTCCCTTCAATACGCTGATTTGAAAAAATTGAAAATCAAGCAATATCATTCTAAGTTTGTACAAATACTAGTTATTATAAGTTGAAATATTTTAAACTTGTTCATTAATGAAAACTAATATTAGTCAATTGCATTCCTGCATCAAATTTTGCTGACTTGATTGAAAATCTGGACCCATTGTGTTCTGCTATTGTAAAATACAAGATGGCGAAAGACACCCATACTACCTTAAGTGCAATAACTCCTATAAGGACTGATCCAATGGTTGACATTTTGTTAAATCTTGTGAAGCTGACCATTTTTGCTGCTTACAGTTTCTACCCATCTTTTATAGATTTTAAAATCGTAGAAAATAAAATGCTCCGCAGGGCGCAGCTTGATACGACCGCAGAGGTCGAACCCTGAACAGTTGGGGCAAGTATGGACACAACATTCAAGCTTGATACAGCTTTGCATTTGGATTGTGATTAAATATTTGACACAGCATAGGTTTCTGACACAGAATGAATGTGGTCTAAGAACTTAAAAATTTTAAATTGGACATTCACCTATTATGGTCCAATATCCAAAATCTAAATACATGGTTAGATACAGCATATCAAAGAACCCCAAGAATTCAATTTTTTGATGAAATCAAACAAAGTTTAATTTTGGACCCTTTTGACCTCAATGTGTACAAAGTTGATAACGGGGCACAAAAATAAAAAATCTAAATACATGGTTAGATTCAGCATATCAAAGAACCCCATATATTCAATTTTTGTTGAAATCAAACAAAGTTTAATTTTGGACCCCGATTTGGACCAACTTGAAAACTGGGCCCATAATCAAAAATCTAAATACATGTTTAGATTCAGCATATCAAAGAACCCTAAGAATTCAATTTTTGTTAAACTTAGTTTAATTTTGGACCCTTTGGACCTTAATGTAGACCAATTTGAAAACGGAACCAAAAATTAAGAATCTAAATACACGGTTAGATTCGGCATATCAAAAAACCACAATAATTCAATTTTTGATGAAATCAAACAAAGTTAAATTTTGGACCCTTTGGACCTCAATGTGGACCAATTTAAAAACGGGGCCCACAATCAAAAAACTAAATACACTGTTAGATTCAGCATATTAAAGAACCCCAAGAATTCAAGAATAAAACCCCATTGAAATTGGTCAAGAAATAAGCAATTTATACGAAGTATCTTCTTTTGCACAATACTGTGCAATTAAATATTTCTTGCTATTGCGCAATACTGTACAACTGACAATTTCTTGCTATTGCGCAATATTGTGCTATTGGATATTTTTTGCTATTGCGCAATACTGTGCGATTGAAGATTTCTTGCTATTGCGCAATACTGTGCAATTGAAGATTTCTTGCTATTGTGCAATACTGTGCAATTGAAAATTTCTTGCTATTGCACAATACTTATAATTTAATAATTTACACATCCTGTTTGGTGTGTATCTTCTTCCATATCATTATTATTTGCTTTTAAATATAAATCAGAAATAACCAACTTAAAATGGAAAATTTTAAAAGGAAAAAAAGAAAAAAAAAGGAAAAAAAAAAAAAAAAAATCCCCACCCCCCAAATTTTTTGAACCCCCTTATGATTCATTACCCCCCAAACTCAATCCCAGCCTTCCCTTTGTGGTATGGTACCTTGCAGTACAATTTCAGAGAGATCCATACACTTGAACACAAGTTATTGTCTGGAAACTAGAAAAATGTGTTTTTTGGCCCCTTTTTGGCCCCAAATTCCTAAACGTTTAGGGCAATTACCCCCAAACTCAAACCCAGCTTTCCCTTTGTGATATGGAACCTTGTAGTACAATTTCAGAAAGATCCATACACTTACACACAAGTTATTGTCCTGAAACTAGAAAAATGCTTGTTTTTTGCCTTTTTGGCCCCTAATTCCTAAAATATTGAGGCAATTACCCCCATCATCAATCCCAGCTTTCCCTTTGTGGTATGGTACCTTGCAGTACAATTTCAGAGAGATCCATAATCTTGAACACAAGCTATTGTCTGGAAACTAGAAAAATGCTTATTTTTGGCCCTTTTTTGGCCCCATTTTTCCTAAAAGTTTTGGGCAATTACCCCCAAACTCAATTCCAGCTTTCCCTTTGTGATATGGAACCTTGTAGTATAATTTCAGAAAGATCCATACACTTACACACAAGTTATTGTCAAGAAACTAGAAAAATGCTTGTTTTTTGCCCCTTTTTTGGCCCCTAATTCCTAAAATTTTGAGGCAATTACCCCCAAAATCAATCCCTGCATTCCTTTTGTGATATGGGACCTTGTGGTACAATGTCAGAGAGATCCATACACTAACACACAAGTTATGTCTGGAAGTTACAAAAATGCTTATTTTTGGCCCCTTTTTGGCCCCTAATTCCTTTACTGTTGGTACCATAACCCCCAAAATCAATCCCAACCTTTCTTTTGTGGTATTGAACCTTGTGGTAAAATTTCATAGAGATGCATTCACTAAAACTAAAGTTAGAGTGCAAAAACCAATGTGTCTTCGGACGACGCCAGACGACGACGACAACGACGACGACGACGACGACGACGACGCCAACGTCATACCAATATACGACCACAAAAAATTTTTGCGGTCGTATAAAAACTCATTATTTAAGAGTAATTACACCAACAGTCAATGAGTCATCCAATTGGTTCAATCATTATAGTATGTTTGTTGATCTTGTTTTGCTGATCCTTATTCCTATTTACAGTTTCTACCTTTCTATTATAGTTTTTGAGATAAAAGGCAAAAATGCGAAAATTAGTCAAAAATCATCATCTAAGCTTTCGACATTCTGAGCATTTTTGATCTGTCAGATTTTCTCTTTTATGGTTTTCAAGATATTTGACAATTATAGACTTTCACCCTTACATTTATCATTTTGCAATGGTGGCCATATTGGTTACTTGGCAGGAACAAAAAATGCAAACTTTATACCGTATACACGGATCATTCAGTTCACTTTTAGCTGAAATTGGTTAAGTGGTTTAAGAGAACATTTTTTTTTAAATTTACGACGACAACAACAGACACCAAGTGATGGCAATAGCTCATTTGTTTCAAAGGGCTAGTTGAGCTCTCCAACTGTTTCGGTTCTTATACATCCTTGGCATTCAAATATTCGACTTTGAGCATTCCTGATAAAGGTAAATTCAGAAAAGTGCTTCGGACGCATGAAATTTATAATGTGTTGCTTTCATTTTTCAGAGCAATATTCTTAGAGTATAATTTAGAACAACAGCTACACACATTACAATAACATCCAAGTTTGGAGTTCTTGTAACAGTTATTGTTATATTCCCCTTATTGTTGGCATTTTACATGTGGTGTAAAGTGCTAAATTTTCTCAAATCCCTAGGTCCAATTGAATTGTTAAAACTTGTCATAATGAATTTATATGTTGATAGAACTGTATTGATAAATTTACAAGATACAGAATCATCCTGTTGTAAAATAGAAGCTATCACTCGTGTAATTGTTTTGTTTTATTAAAATGACCTAAAAAGTGGAATGTGCCCATTATAGATTAAATTCTTAAACATCATTACCGAGCAGTAGTAATTGTTTCTCCTAGTTTTATGATTTTTTCACAGGGTGGTAAAACATTTCATTCATGACATCAAATTGGAAACTCTTCAGCAAATTAATTTTATAATTACCAATCGTTGAAATACAAAACACAGCAAAGAAAGCATACATTTGAAATCGTGGACAATTCATAATAAATTATCGAGCACTGGTATAAAGATTACTTATCAATCACCTATGGAAAGAATATCTGTAATGTCTGAGTACACCTTCCATTCAATTTTGGCATTGCGTGGCAATCTAGGAACAACAACAAACTCTATCATGCTTGGCATGGTGTTGTATTCTATTGAAAAGCTTGAATGATTATGCTGCAGAAATGTCTGAAAGGCAAACAGAATCTACGCTTTAACAAAGAAAGCCTCTGAAGTTGTATAATCCAAACAACGCTAGTTAATACTTTAAAGAAGTAAAAATTAACAAAAACACTATTGCTACAACATTTTGTACAACACAGCAAAATGCATCCCATGAACTGCTCAAATCTTAATTAGGCATTGCTAACTATATCTTGTTAATAACAATAACCAATAGTCGACATGTCTGGTCTGAATAATTGATTGGTAATGATTATTATCCTGAAAGTCAAAGATTAAGGTCTGTGTTTCAAACTTACATTAGGCATATATCATACTATAGATATCTTCCTTCCTGTCAAATATGGATGACGCTTACCTTTAGGGAAGTTTTGAGTTCATCCTCAATTCTTTGTTTGGGTTTTGGGTTTGGGTTTCTGTTGCTTAATTGTAGTTTATTGTGATTTTAGTTGACTGTTTGTTTTTTTTAATGAAATTGTCTTAATATTCTTCAACTAACGTGTTTGATTACCTCTAAGTATTTTCTTCCAATTTTTGCAACTTTATAAGTGATAATCATATTGCAACATTTTCATGATATACTTTTATAAAATTGTAAATAACAAATTGTTCATACCAAAAAAAAAACATAATTCGAAATCTAATAGCCCTCAGCAGTCATCACAACATTAACGACCTGAATATGTTTATAAATTCTGCTGTGTTCAGTTTCCATGGTTCTGTTCTTGTTTTCATTTTAATATTTAATATTAAATTTTTTGCTTTTGTGCAATACACTATGCTGTTACGAATCCTAACCATCCCTTTGTGGTATGGAAACTTGTGGTCTAATTTCAGAGAGATCCATACACCTTTCCACAAGTTATTGTCTGGAAACTAGAAAAATGCTTATTTGGGCCCCTTTTTGGCCCCTAATTCCTAAACTGTTAGGACCATAACCCCCAAAATCAAACCTTGTGTTTAAATTTCATAGATTTCTAAAGAATATACTAAAGTTATTGTCCGGAAACCAAATGTCTTCAGACGACGCAGACAACGACGACGTGATACCAATATACGATATAAAATTTTTTGCGGTCGTATAAAAATGAATTGTCTTGCTCAATTATAAGGTTCAGAACAAGCAGAAAGTATACAGATGTTTGTTATGTGAAATTAATCAATTCATAGAAAGCTTATAATATTTCAAAAGGCTGTAAGGTTAGATTATCCATACTGTGCACGTAGATGGCTATTGCCTGAATGTAAAAATAAGGAGATGTGGTATGATTGCCAATGAGACAAATATAAACCAAAGTTCAAATGAAGTGGATGTAAGCAATTATAGGCATCTGTACGGCCTTCAACAATGAGAAAACCCCATACCGTATAGTCAGCTTTAAAAGGCGCCAACATGAAAAATATGAAACAGTTCAATTGTGAAAAGTAACGGCCTAATTTGTAACAAAAAAATTTACGAAAAATAAATATGACAGACATGAATCAACGACAACCACTGAACTACATGCTCCTGACTTGGGACAGGCACATAAAGAATGTGGCGGGGTTAAACATGTTTGTGAGCGCTCTACCCTCCCCCTAACCTGGTACAATAGTGTAACAGCACAACATAAGACACTAAAAACCAGTTAAAGTCTGAAATGGCCTATATCTGTACTCGACTGTACTGATTTTTACCCGACCAGTCTGAATTGGTCTAAAATTTACTTGATATTACTCGACTGTAGTCTGAACCATATTTAACAGTCTGAACTTGTACTCGACCCGTACTTAACCATTTTATACGAGTCTGAACCATACTCGACATAGTCTTAACCATTCTCAACCAAGTCTGAACCATGCTCGACCTAGTCTGAACCATACTCGACCTTGTCTGAAACATACTCGACCTAGTCTGAACCATATTCGACCAAGTCTTAAACAACCTAGACCTGTTTTTTGTATCTATCTATTGTATTTCATCAATTTAGGAACTGTTATACATATATATATATATACAAGTCTAAAATTGAAAACAACGTTCAAACCTATGATTGCGTTGGATAAAAACCGCAATTTTTATACGTGTGCATGCAAAACAAATTTCTTGGTAGAGGGGTCTAAATACAGCACAAACAACATTTTCCAAAAGACCAAAAAAATGAAAAAGTATATTTTAACAAAACGCATTTGACTACCAGGTCGAACAACGGATGTTCTTAAACCCTGCTGACTGCCATTGGCGATTGCCAAATAAACGGATCACCAGATGTAACAAAATGGATCTTAACTATTAATTTAATACCAAACAGAAAACAATAAACTTGCGGAAAAGATGGTATACCGCAAACAAAAGGTGCAAAAATAAGTACACCATATCCGGATTTCGACAATTAATGTCTCTTCAGTGATGTTAGGAATCGAAACGGTATTTGGAAGGCCATATAATTTACCTCAATTTAGGATAGACTCTTGAATTTTGAAGAGTCGAAATAGGATGAACGGATCATATAAACCCGAAGGCAAATATAATACAAGCCCAAACGAAAAAATATAAACAAGTCTAAATTGAAAACAACGTTCAAACCTATGATTGCGTTGGATAAAAACCGCAATTTTTATACGTGTGCATGCAAAACAAATTTCTTGGTAGAGGGGTCTAAATAAGTTTACCCCTAATCAGAAGAAACATTTTATTCATTTCTTTAATATTTTATCCCTTTTTTAAAATGAATGTAGGACAAAAAGTCACAATTCTGTTTTGAGATTAATTTTCTTTGAAAATGAAAACATAATTTAAAAAAATTTTTTTTAGTATTTTTCTTTAACTATTATATATAAAGCAACTTTTTAATTAAAATTTATTTAATAAATATCAATAATGATCAAATAATTGTTAAGAAAACAAAATGTCAAAGTGGCTTGGTACTTATACGGCTTCGTTGTGCCAAGAAATATATCCTTTGCATAATCAAAATTTAATAAATTTTCAATTATCAAGGCTTATAAATAATTTCATAAACTGTAAAAAAAAAAAAACGTGATAAAAAGAGAATATTTCAAGATCTTTCTCCTATATATTCAAACAATTGTCAACAAATTATTTGTGACTTTTTGTCCTGTGACTTTTTGTCCTATCAAATTTGTGACTTTCTGTCCAGTGACTTTCTGTCCGTTTACCTTTAAAATATATATATATATCCCAAATTATAATAAGAATAGATATATTTCTGATATAAGGTTAAACAATGTCAGTAATTTTGTAGGCTGTTGTTACCTCATTAAGAAGATAGTTATATAATTGTTGTATGTAACCATGAAACCTATGTAGTTTTTATTTAGGAATTTAGGAAAATCAAGTTTTGATTAAAAAAGACACATGCCAAACAAAAAGCACCTTAATAAGGTTTTATTACCCTCAGTGTAGGTGTGGTTTTCAGGTAAAAGAAAGTCTTTTTTTTTAACAAGACTCAGACTTTCAAATAAGATAATTTAACTATCTCCATTTGATAAATCTGAGAATCATGTAAGGATGTAAAAATCTGTTTTTATATATCTTTATTTTATTGTGGCTGTTGTTATGTCAGTTAAAAAGAAAGATATTTTAACAATCAAAATTATAAAAAGTAGAGGTTATTTGGTCAAGTATGGTTCAGACTGGTCGAGTATTGTTCAGACCTTTGGTCGAGTATGGTTCAGACTGAAAAAAAAAAGGTCGAGAGCTGGTCAAGTATTGGTTGAGTACAGGTCGAGAATGGGTTAAGACTTTTTCAGACTGGTCGAGTAATAGTTCAGACTATTTTCAATAGCAAAGATAAGGGTCAAGTACAAATCAGTACAGTCCAGTATGGTTGAGACTGGGTCGAGTAATATTAAGTAAAATTCAGACCAATTCAGACTGGTCGAGTAAAAATCAGTACAGTTGAGTACAGATGTAGGCCATTTCAGACTTTTACTGGTTTGTAGTGAGAACAAACTTTAAAAATCAGTTGAAAAAGACTTAACTCATCAGATTGATACAAAGAAAAACATCAAACAAAAACACAGACAGGATGCGGCAGAGTATAAACAACAAAAAAGACACTAAGTACAGATCTGAGAGTACTCGCAGTTACTGACAGCTAGTTCAAAGCCAATAACAACTAATAAACTAGACAAAGTGACACTCCACTCTGAAGTAACTGTATTATAACAAAGTCAATGCAGGACTTTCTTTGAGATATTATTGTATCTGGGAGACACAAATGATGCCCCCGCAGATGCAAAGTGTTATTTCAAAATACACAAAGTTGAGCATGGGAGCACATATGTCTATGGTTCACTGTAGGAGGAGTTATCCGGAAACGCTATGCACCTCTTATGCAAGTATATACTCCAAAAATGGCAAAGTTCAACTATCTCCCAAAAGAGCAAATATTGATAAAATTCAAAACCCTGACCACATGCACACCTTCAATATATCTACAAACAGCCATCAAAGTGAAAACTTCCTAGCATTCAAACTATATGAAGAGTTATCCGGAAACGTTATGCACCTCTTATGCAAGTAAATACTCCAAATAAACTGTTAACACAGAGATATGTCTCGCCTATTTGTTATTTTGATAATGCAAATGTTGAAATTAAAATAGCAATACTTTAACATTTAAGTTATGCAAATATTTAAAGTCAATGAACCATGACTGAAGGTACAGGGCTAAACAATCTCCCTGGGAATCAGATGTGTCAATGCTAATACAACTGCATATCAAATACTATTGACTTTTTCATATATCGTTCCCTTTTAACAAACCTGAGGGGGAGTGGCCAAATAATCTCCATGGAAAAGAGATATGCCAATGCTTATACAACTGCATACCAAATTTCATGGACCTACCACTAGTGGTTCCCCAGAAACTGACCTAATCACAAACTAATGGGAATTTAATGTATTAAATTGGAGTTTATACATTTTTGTTCATGTCCTCATCATCTTTTACCCTGTCCCATCATGTGTTTAATATTAGCAAGACCTTTGATAAGTTATT